CCCCAAAACCCCAAAACCCCAAAACCCCAAAACCCCATTCTCACTAGGGATCATTGAATTATAGCTAATTTCCCATTAATCTCTCATAGGCTTTCAGAGTCTCAATATCCTTTGTAGAGAAGAATGCCTAGATGTTAGAAATTGAAGGATTACCTCTTCCTTGCTCTGACCCTTGACTCTGTTTTTCTTCTTACGCCATTTATCAGCTTTGAGAGATCTTTCAGACTTTATTTTTGGTAATATCTTATTAATTGAAGAAGTTCTTCCTGATAGCACCTCTTTCCCAGATGGCAACTCTGCATGACTCATTACAGCTTTAGAGTATTTAGAATCCTTCTGAAGATTGCGCACTCCATTGATGATGTCTCCATGATCAAACTTCCCCTGGCTCATACTCTTTTTAAGATAGTTTAGTTGAGGTTTAGAGTAGAGGATAGCAAAAGCATCCTTCTTTCTCTTCTCCTTTTGAAGATAGACCTTCATCGCTTCAAAAGCATTTTCCTCATTAGCATTAGTTATTTTACCACTGATCTTGTTACTACCAAGCTTGAATCTGTCTCTGAAGGGTCTGTTAGGAGTATTGCTATCCATTTTCCACTCAAAAGGACTCACAAGCTTGTTACTCTTTAGTTTCCTGGTCAGTTCAGACTCGAATCCAGCACTCTTTTGCTCATAGACCTCTTTCAGGCTTGGATGGTACTTATTAGGACTTTCAGAGATCTTTTCCCCACCAACTCCGTAGAAATCTTTGTATTTGAAGAAGTTGTCTGAAGAGACGCTCTTCAGCCTCTTACTGAAGTCCTTCGCATTATAGCCTAGAGTTGTTATTGAGCACAGTTACTGTTCATTCCTGGGACAAAATTATTAGTTCCCTTCTTTCAACTGAAGCTTCTTCCTGAGAGGTGAACGGCTCTGTTATTTTCCATTTTTACGTACTCTTTGAGCTCAGCTAGCTCTTGATTTTTAACATTGGGATCGAACAGGACTCCTCTCATCTTCTTTGAGGTAACAGCATCAGCTTCAAAGAATTTTCTTCGTCCTTGCTTGTGCTTTGCAGGATTTACTTCAGGGATTTCAATCCTTTTCTTGGTCGCTGGGTTACCTGTTCGATGTTGTCAGTGGGATGTGGAAAGTTTAAGGGAATTTTAGGCATTTTTGAAGGGGTTATAACTCTTTCAGAGAATACTTACTTCCTTCATCTTCATTATAATAATTTTCCTTCCTTCTCTTTTTTATTTCCTTGATTTGAGCTTGCACAAGCTATAGGAAATTATCAAAAATTGACTAAAACTAAATATTTTCTCGATCTGCGTTTTGTGGATCAGACCTAACCTCATCCAGAACCTATTATACCATCTTTCCAACTCATTCCCTTACTTCTAAGCAACTCTAACGCCTCCACCAAACCCACAAAACTTACCATTAAACTGCCAAAATAACCTAAATTTATTCTAAAATCTGGGGTTTTGGGGTTTTGGGGTTTTGGGGTTTTGGGG